ATAAGAGTCCCGTAAGAAACGGGAAATGCTGGGAGACCCCATCCTGGCTTGTGAACGACTCTCGTTCTAACCTCTATTTCCCAACTGTGTTTCCGAAGTAGATGAATTCCAACCACCAAACACTAGGCCTCTGAGAAGTGGCTGGTATTCGCTTTGGGTTTGGATTTGGCCAATTTGGGAGACTGATTTGAATCACTGTCCCGAATTGATTCGGCCAAATCACACAGGCCCCATCCCCCACCCACTCTTCCAGCCCCGCCCATGGCTGCCCCGCCTGGCCCCAGCGTCCCGGCTCTTTTAAAAAAAAAAAAAAAGGCTCACACTCACAGGCTACTGCCATGCAGGGGGGCAATCCCTGCTGCCCCCCACTGCCCTGTGCTGCGTGGGGGGCTCTACCACGAGCCCCTAGAAGCCCCAACGGCAGTTGGTGAGCACGGAGATTTGTTTTTTTTTTTTTTTTTTTTAAAGAGCCAGGTGGGGCTGCCATGGGGGGCAGCTGGGAGAGCAAGCGGAGGTCATGGGGTGCTCAGCGGGGCTGAGGGAGCAGGCAGGGAATGGGGCCCGGCAGGACTCCCCCCATGGTCCCCTCCTCTCACCTCCAGCTCCCCCTCTAGGTCCAGCTCCCTGCGGCAGCAAGTGGGGACTGCCCAAATCTCCAAAGCTTTCCAAATTGATTCAGAGAGCTTTGAATTGATTCAGACTTTTTTACTGGTCTCCTGATTCAATTCAGACTTAGAGATTCGGCCACCGAATTGGGCTGAATCTCCTCCGAATTGAGCAGCACCCGAAGCTTCGCACAGCCCTACTAAACAAGCAGGGACATCACATCTGTGTGGACTATAGATGTATCTGGGATTTAAGAGAGGGATGTTTCTCAGAATGAGGAACAAAAGTGCATGATTGCACCAGCCTAATTTCTGCACAGATTAATCTCTGTATTCTGCCTGGTAATTTTAACTAACATGTCACAAAAGTCCCTCCAACCACTTCATAAGGGAATGATTACTGCTTTAAAAGCTGTTGAACCCTGGCCTGTTACTCTGCATCACAATTCTCAGCCAGACTGGATGCTCTTATTTCAAAAGAAATGCTCACGGATTATAACATCTGTTTACAGAAGCTCCTGTCTGGGTTCTGCCACTACTGGCTGTTCTTTTGCAGCCTCCCCTGCCAACTTTAAAGTTTCTTCTCTTCCTGACTCTAAAAGCTAATGAGCTCCTTTGAAACTAAACGCCATTATGAAGACTGAAATGGCAAATGGCAAGTTGCTGTTCTATGGCCATTACATTTCTTTCTTCCTCTTTTCAAAGAACTGCATGTCATGAGAAGTCTGAAAAATTGTTTCTGATCTCTCAAGGTGTCGTAATATTTCTGACCTGCCAATAAAATGGATACAGTGAGGAAAGACTCTCTCCCTGGCACCCTGCATGATTTGTGTGACACCCTCACACATTATTTCTCTTGCTGCAAACTATGTGCCATGTGGTGGAATTTGAAAGAAAAATTATTAAGCCTTGAAGACAAAAAAACCTTGCACAAGGAACAGAATTGCTATTGTCAAGGTAACCTCCTGTGTAAAATAAACTAATACTGCACAGAGAGAACTTTATTTTCTCACAGGAGTCCGCATGGTTCTTCAAGGTGTCAGTGAAAGCTGTCTGCTTCGTTTGCAGGGAGCAGTCTGAGAATCTTTGTATCTACACTAACTTCTCCTGAAGACAGCCAAGAGCTGCACCTACAGATAAACAGCTCATACTGTCAAAACCTGAAGCAACATGATTTAGTGGAGACAGCACTGGACTGGATTCAGTATATCTTGTTCTAATCCTAGCTCTGACACTGATCTACCCTATGTCTGCTTCTCTTCGTATTCTTTGTCTGTTTTGCCTGCTTAAAGTGTCAGCTTCTCAGCATAGGGACTACCCCTTTCCGTGTTGTATAACACCTATCACAATGGAGTTTATCACCTACCTCAGCAAAGATTTTGGCATATGGAAGAAGGTGCTGTTTTGACCCATCTCCTCTCTCTGATTTTCCTCTCTTTTTTCCCCTGAAGTGGAAGATTTGGGAAAATAACAAAAAACCAACAGCACACTGGCCTGTAGCAATAGAAGTCCCACTTGCTAATCAAGGAAAATGGTTCTCCTGCTCTATTCAGCATTGGTGAAGCCTCACCTGGAGCAGTGAGTCCAGCTGTAGACCCATCACTTCAAAAAGATGAGGGCAGATTAGAAAGAGTTCAACAAGACTGATAAGAATGAGTAGAAGCTGGGAAATACAGGGAAAGGCTAAAAGAACTGGGATCATTTAGTCTGGAGCAGAGAACACAGAGGTGGGATTGGTAACAGTCTTCAAATACCTGAAGGGTGGTTATATGGAGGAGACAGACTATTCTCTGTGGCTGCAAAGGTCAGGACAAGGAGCGATGGTCTTAAATTGTAGCAAGGGAAATTTATGTTGGATATCAGGAAGAACATTCTCACTCTGAGGCTGGTTAAGCATTAGAACAGGTTACCTAGACAGGTGATGGAATATCCATCCTTGGATGTTTTCAAGAGCAAGTTAAATCAACACTTGATGGGGATGATTTTGACAGGGATGATCCTGTCTTGGGCAGCAGGCTGGACTAAGTTCCTATGATTCTAAAGTATCTCGCTAACTCACAGACAGGTCCACATTTCTCTTTTACACACCATCCCCTTCTTCTAATTCAAAGACATTTGCACCTCTTAAAACTTCCATATAAAAGTATCTTAGGAAGACCACAGTTGGGAGGGACAGTACTTGCTGAATAGGGGCAACATCAAAATGTGAAGTACTCTATATCCCTATTATATACTAAATGTGTGTTTAAAGACCACACATCATGCTGCTGTTTTGCCTTACTTTTTTATACCAGCATCACCACAACTTTAATCTCAAGTCACGAGATAAAATATCTACTTGTCCTAGTAAAAATGAAGTCCTAGTCTTCATTTTCAAAAGGTAAATTTTGCTATTGCCAATCCATTTCACCCATACTGATTTTTTTTAAAAGTCAGGTGACTATGACTCATTGAACTCCCAGTTCAGACTATCAGTTAATCAAAGAAGCCTAAGTGCAAAATGCCTCCAAATACCCTAGATTGCAAAGGATCTGATTCTTGTGACAAGAAGCTGAAGTTCTTACACTAAGGTTGGCATATTTTAAACTTAATAAACAGCTGTTTAAAAAGTAAGTACTGAAATAGATGCACAGGTACCACACATCTCTGTAAGTGTATCCCCAGGGATAAAAATGCAAATATACCTTCTACAGGTCTGGAGAGTTTCCCTCAGCCATGGAACATTGTTTTACAAAGCAAGAATTTAAAAATAGGTGTATGAATCTACACTTGGACACCTAAGAGGTCCCAGCACCTCTTACTAAACTCCGTGGGATGGCTGCAGGCACAACACTCAAAAACCAAGACAAAATAACTTTAACCTCTTGAACTGTCACTCTGAAAAGTCAAAATGAAACCTTGACCAGACTGAAGTCAATGACAAAATTCCCAAAGATTTCAGTAAAGGCCAGGATTTCACCCAGCATTATCACTTGTTGTGGTTAAACTTAAGAGCAAGTGTCACTGTTTATAGGAGCAGAGAATTACATATATGAGAGTCTGGAAGTAAGACTCGAACCGTTTTTGAAAACCTCAGCCAAAGGCTTCATCTTGGTTCTGTACAGTATTTTGAGTTCATTTGTCAAAGAAAGCTAACCTCTGCTTTTCTGTTTTGTTGAAACTTAGCCTTCTTTATAAAGGTCTGATCAGGGTACTTTCAATGCTAGAGGCTACGAAGCACCACTTATTAAAATACTGAAGCATTTTATTTGATTTGATAAAGCATTGCATATAGCACTGATAAAGCTACTGCACTTCAACCACTGGTTTAAAGGCATTCATAAGTACTTATTTTCTAAAAATGTTTTAGAAATTTTACAGGTTGCTTTTGATATTAGCAGTATTTATATTTTAATTTGTTTCCAGCACAAAATTTGGTTGATGACTACTGATGGCATTAAATACTTTTGTAATGATCAGTTTAAAAAAATTCAGTACAAGTGTTTGTTGGTTGTTTTTTTATCATATTGACACTGAACTTAATTAAACTGATCTTAAGGAGAATTCTGGTTTTGGACTGCATCAATGCCTGTGTTTTGGCCCCTTCTGCCTGTACAGTCTCTGCAACAGATTTTTAAAACCAATTTATTTCTTAGCCTGACTTCCCCTACAAAAACTAAACCTGCAATAATGCAAATAACTTTTTTTTAAGGCAAGATGATAGTAATTCATATGCAACAGCAAAATACTGCCTGACAAAAGCAACAGAATCCTATTATTTAATTTCACAAAGCATTTTTTTTTCTGAACACTTGTCAAAAGAAAGCCCTTCACACATACAAAGTATTAAGCTGCTATTTTGTACTCTGAGGGACTGGACCCAGAGGGATCACGTGGTTAATGCAGGACACAGCAACTCTGTTTGGAAAACCCAGGAATTTACAGAAGTATACCAACTTACAGCAGCCATGGGTCAGGCCCAGAGCCTTCATTTTCAATTTTTTCCTAAAATTTTAAGTTGGTCTAATAAAAGAGATCAGATTCACCCAAAGAACCTTGTCTTCATTTTAAGCCACATTTGTGTTGAATCAGACCTTGAAATTTGAAAATCCCTGTTATGCTTGGAAATGGTATAATTCAATCTGTAAATATATATCCCAGTACAGCTCCTGGACTTTCATCTGCTAGTTCAATTATAATGAGGTTTTTAAATTTGTTTGCAAAAGGGGGGAAAATATGAAAAATTGTGGACCAGCTTCCCTCCTTTCTGCTGATCAGTTATGTTCTGTCCAGAAAAGAAACACACAGCCACCCAATCACTGCATCTGCCAGCAGCAACTAATACTGTTTTGCAGTCAGCCCTCCCCAGGGGACCAAGACCAGAACTCACGCTGCCCTCTTCCCTGAACTCCTTACCTGATGGCGAGGTGGACACTGTAGTCACTGTGCTTGTTGAGTGAGTTGGGCTGCTGCTTTCCAACAGCAAACAGGAGCTTCCACCACTGTTTTCCTTCTTAACAAAGAGCTCAGTGGCACTGGGCAGAGGGATTGGGTGGCTGATCCCTAGTTCCTCTTCTTGAGCCTGTTGCCTCCTTAGAGCCACCTGGGAAGAACAGCAAATATTACACATGTGCTCACTAGTTTGAGAACAAATATAACAACAACAAATATTAAGGAAACAGATAGCCTGATAATATGAACTGAGGGGTACAATCTCTCCTCAAGAGTCAGGCAACTCATGGGTCTTGACAATAACACCCAAGTGGTTGATGCAACATTTTGAAAGCCCAACAGAGAGAGAGGGTATACATGTATACAAGTCAAAATCTACTTTTATTTATATCCATGCAAGCCCCACAGCTTTAGTTAAAAGGGGCACTGGTCTGGTTCACAACACAGTAACATCAAAAGGAAAGATGCTTTTCTGTAATTATGTAATGGGTTCAAGTTCTGGAAGGACTTGACATCAAGGAAGTTTGGGACAAACTGGTTTAGGCATAATTATTGCATACTTTGTGTAAAATGAACCAATACACAGAAAACATCTTCACACCATCTACCAATGTGTCTGAATGCATGAGTGAAAACAACAGAAGGCTATGACTGCTAATGTCCTGGGTAAGATCCTTTGTTAGACTGTGTAAAACATCAGACATATTCCATCCTAAACTCTGAGCTGTTACTGCCCAGACTGCTTGTCTAACATAACTTCTGGCAAAGTCTACCGTACGTAGATGGAGATCAGACACTCTGCCTCCTTTCTTACTGATTGCACACCTCAATATCTAATAAATGAAATAACAACAATAATGTGCTTAGTTTGATAAATGGTATTACTGTGTGTGCTAGTTTTCGGATATAGATTTCCCCAGTAAAAGACTGCACTCCCTCTCCCTATTTAAAAAAGCTGACCAGAAGAATCCTTTATATTCAGAGCTTGGAGACGGCAATTGGGGCTGAGCCCTGTGGTACAAGAGGGCTGTCTTTACTCTCCCCCATACAGTGGCTTAATTTAAAGAGACAATGGGGAACACTCCTGTGAACTTTGATTGTTGTATGCATCTGCTATGTTTCTCTATCAAAAGCGGTATTGGTATATGTATGCTATTGCCCTCTATCTGCTGCCAGAAGGGGCACAGAAATTAAATACTATGGCTAAAATTATAACTTAATTCTCTTATATTGCAATCGAAGTCAGACTCTCTTCATCTGACAGATTCATCCTTAGACAAAGCCAAAAAGAGCATCGACTGGAGGCATCTATCTGCTTCCTTAACATCTCCTGACCTGGTGAAAGGGATCGTATTCATCATATTCTAAGGGTCCTTGCTCAAAGCAGTGCTGCACTCCCACTCCCTTGATGTCTCTAGCACTAAGTTTTCATAGCACAAAGGAGTAAAACAAAAAAGCCCGTAAGGCAACAACAGCAAAGCAGCCATCCTTCCACGGGCTTTCATGTGGACAGGTATATGTCACATACTCCCTAGTCATGACCCTGGTCTCCAGCAGTTGCTCCAGTATCTGTGGGTTCTGCAACTTAAAAACTTCTCTGTTCATTCCAGAAGGACTGACCCCATCTGCACACACTCACCAGCAGACACTGAACTTGGAAACTCAACTGCTTCATCTACGTGAGAAAAATGACCTATTGCTGACAAAGTTATTGCATGTGAAACAGCAATGGTCAGTAACAGGTGCTGCTAAAGCAGTGTTGATGTGGAGGGTTTTTTCTTGTTTTGGGAGTGGCAGGGAAAGGTCTGTGTTTTTTAAGTGTGAATGCAATAACCACGTTCAGCACCAAATCAGCAACAGGAGGGTAAACGTGCTTCCTGAAACACTGCAGCCCAGCATTCCTATAACCAACAGATTTCAACTACACCCACTGCTAGCCCCTACTGTCACCAAATGACTCGGTTAGGAGAGACAAAGCTGTAAACTTTAGAGTCTCACTCACTGGGCACTGTCACTGAATGGACCTTTACACTTGAATTTTGCAACTCACAAGAGAGATTGCAAGATAATAATTCAGGAACAATTTAAGCTATCTATAGATAGGTATGGTATCATCTATCTATAATTTGCCCTTTTACTACACTCAACAGAACTGTTTTTCCTTTACATTTGTAACAGGATCATTACAAAAATATTTAGTAACAGCTCCTATCATAAAAGTAGTCCAAACAGAGCTTCTTGGAATTTCATTTGCCAAATCTAAAGGTAACCTACCAACCAGCTTAATGACTTCTAAAATTCTACCAGCTTCAAATGGATTATTGAAAAATTGTACTGAAACGGACAAGTAAAGATTTTAAACATCTTAACTCTTCCATACATAACATTTAACTTGAAATGAGGTATGACAGCATTCAAAGACCCACTGCAAGCTCTGGGTGATAAAAGGGAAAACCCCAAATTAGCCACAGTTAAATCCAGAGGCACAGAGGAGCGGCTTACATTGTGGGAAAGGGGCAACATTATGAAAACAATCTGTACAGACTTTGATACTTTTTGCAGGGAACACTGACTCTCAAAAAGTTCTTTTCTGCAGGGTGTCACAAGAGGACCTGTGTGGATTACCCCATGCTGTTCACACCAGACAGAAGAAAAAAAAGAAAGAATTAATTTATACTGTGGGATTCTAAACCCTTGCAGATATAGGACTCATTAAAATATCACTCGGACAAAACTCCCGCTGAAATCAGTGGTTGCACTGGTTAACCAAGTTACAAAATCCAAAAAAATGGGAAATGAAGAAGGATTTGCTCCCAGGACTGCAAGGTTTTCGAAACCTATAAACTGACCAGATCAGTCGTTCCAGGTTTTGGAAATTCTGAGCACACAACACCTGCACCGTTGGGTCCGTGTGTTCTGATTCTGTAACTTTTTTTCACAGATGCAGCCCTAATGATTTCAATTAATTTATACAAGTAAGAAATGATTACTTGCACCACTATGCTAGGCAAGATTAAGCTACATGCAAAACTTTATACATAAAATCCCCACAACCACAGGCTTATCCTCAGTAGTGACTGGACACGTCTACATGTGCCTCTTTTAAGTGGGTTTAGTCTAAAATCGTCATTTGAAGGCACATTAAGGACACGTTTCTATGCATGCGTGCCCTTAATGCACCTTTAAAATGGTAATTTAAGGCTATGTGAGCCTAAATTTGATACCTGCATAAAGCAGGTATCAAATTTAGGCACAAATAGCTACGTTACATTAGCGCATGTGCAGACACACTAATGCACATTAACGCAGTGTGTGTCAATGAATAGACACTGTGTTAATGTGTATTAGTGCATCTGCACATGTGCTAATGCAACTTAGCTATTTGCATCTAAATTGAATGCACCTTAATGCACATTAACACATCCATGTGTAGAGGCACGCCTAAATCGCCTTAATGCGCCTTAAGCAAAGGTGCATTAAGTTTAGGCACACGCAAATACACAGGCCTAATGCTGGATAGTGTGGGCAGACACGCCCACAGTATCCAGCATTAGGCCTATGTGGTCAAAGCAAGCATATGTATAAAACTGCAACCTCGAGGGGCTACTTAAAGGAGTAAAGTTACTTTTATGCAGGTTTGATCCTAACTTGATTTATCCACTGTTAATAGTTCCCTCTTTTTGGATTTAAACCCTCTCAACTCCAGAGCATTTTTTAACTCAACTTCGCAGGATATTTTTATGTAATTCAAGGAAACCACACTTTAGAACGGTACTAAAGTATTTTTACTCTTGGAAGTGAGCTACAATTTGCCTACAAGCATCTAACAGAAATAAACAGCAACAAATGGCAAGCCTGCAGCTCAAAGCTGTCCCCTCCTTCAGCCCCCAATTATTTTAATAAATTAACCTGAACAGTTGTCTGTAAAATATACAACTAACTGCTTTTAGATGAAACTGTTTTTTAAACTCAGCTATGTGGTGTACCTGGGGAACAGAAAATATGCAATTAAAAACATGAATAGGAAAACTTGTATTTTGAATGTCCTCACAGAATTTGTAAAAATATAAATATTTTGTTAGTGTTCATTTTCACAATAGAAGTGCATCTACAGATTATTCACAATGTGACAGTTTATTAAAACCACTCCTGAATACTGCTGCTGTTACGTACATACAAGAGGTTTCTTTTAGACATTTCTATTAAAAACCACATCTTTACTTTTTACTGCAGACTCCTCATGACATCTCTTTCATTTATTCACCCAAGACAAGAAGCTCCCTCTAACGACAATGACTTTTTTGGACACAGGCAGAATCTAGCTTTGTATACAAAAATATGGTTTCCCCCTTGTACACTGTCTTTCAGAATTTTAAATAAATTCAATTTTTGCATTCAGGCCATTATTTTGTCACCGGAGAGTATGTGCTTTGCTCTTTCATTCATTATATTAATTCAAGGATTAAGCAAAACGTATGTTAAAGTAAATGTAAAAAAAGAAGAAGAAAGGGAAATGGGGAAAGATTTTATAGAAATATCATATTTGGCCATATCCTAGAGCCAAGCTTCAGAACATCTATCACACAGCAAAGCCTTGCTTGTACAAAGACTGAGATAAACATTTTGGTTCAATGTTTCCATTCAGTTAAATCAAAGCTCACCAGCACTTCTGAAAATAAATAACTATTTCCTTGTGGAAGGTAATTAAATAAACCTTTTGCATCTTAACAGCATATTTAATATAGTATCTATCCTACACAACTAAATAAGCTCGCTCTTCTGCTATCCTTTTGTATCAGAAACCTGCTTTAAAACTGTATTTCCACTTAGCCTGCCTCCGCTTGAGTACTCCAACCAATTCTAAAATACAGCAGAGGGGCACTGTTTCAGAAGAACTAGGGGTCACAAAATGAATAAGTAGGAAGTTTAAAACCAACAAAGGGAATTTCTTTTCCACACAGTAATTCAGTTAAACTATCTGCCAACAGATGGGGTGGAAGCTGACAGTTGAGGCAGGTTGGAAAAGGGACTGGGCACATTCTTGGAGAAAAGAGGCATCGGTAGCTATTGAGCAGGGGAGTGAAGGGCACAGCCCCTGAACAGACTTGCCCAGACCTAGAAGGAGGCTGCAAGTGAGAGAGGAACAGTGGG